ATGGGGGTGGAGGCAGCTGGGCCTCACCACCATCTCCCATCTTTCCTCCATCCATCTCCATTGTTAGTGCTTCCCCCAGGACCGTTAATTGCCAACTTCACTTAATGACGTGCTGACGTCCAATGGCTGTGGAGGTCCCCAGGGAACTGTGGGTAAAGGTGGGTTTAGAAAGCAGGAGCAAGTCCAAGGACAGAGAATAGCCCTCGAACCAGGATATAGGGGTATAGGGACTCCATTTTTATTTGCGGCTTTAGTTTGGGACAGAAATCAGAGGTGATTACTCTTGAGCTCCCTGGAGTCTGCAATGCACTTGTCTAGGTTAGCTGGAACAGGCCTGCTTATTAAACAGGTACCTGAAGAGGTGGAGTCTGAGTCATGGGACTAGAATAGGCCTGCACCGAATGCAGATATGGGAAGAAGCAGAGTCCTGGAAACGTGTCCTTGTTGCCGGCTCACCAGGAAGTTCTTCTTCTTGGCATGATAGATGATAAACACCAACACAGTTCAGTCCATCGCCTCGAGGCCTCGGGACCCTGCATGGTGACTCTCCAGACTCCTGCTCCGAGGACCCATGGGCTGGATGTTTCTCTGAAGCTCCATGAGGGAATGTTTTATGGCTTTTAGTTGGTGGTACCATCATGTAAGAAAGAAATGAGGAGTGGCATCCAATCGCCCACCAGACTGCTCCTCCCACCTCCCCTACTTTCTCGGTTGCCTCCATCTCAGTGGCCACACTGTCCCCAGGCTCGCTGGGAATGGGGACAGTGCTACCCACACCGCTCTTCTTAACTCGTTCCCTAGTGTCTCTTACTTTCCTCACAGTCAGGAAGCAGAGGTTCCCAGGGGTGACTGACTCATTTTCTCCTTTTAATTCAGTCTAGGACCCCAGCTCGTGGGACGGGGCCGCCCACATTCAAAAGGGTCTTACTTCCTAATTGAATGACGAGCAGAAGCTTCTTCACAGACATGCCAAGAAGCTTGTCTCCTAGGTGATGCTACACTCGGCCAGGTGATAATCCGTGTTAACCATCACATGCCCAATGGACCAGGTGTGTGTCACAGACAAGAAAGCTTCTGCAGCATGACTTCCTTGACCACCCAGTGTTTCCCTAGATACCCCCCTTCTTGCCCTCTCTTCCCGCTGCCGTTCTCTTTCAAGTATGGGTTTTGTTTAACTCAGATCACATTTTGTATGTTTGTTTGTTTTTGGTTTATTTTTTGGGGTATGTGTGTGGCTTCTTTTCTTTTTGCCTCTTTTCCTTCCTCCTTCCTCCCTCCCTCCCTCCCTCCCTTCCTCCCTTTGACATGTCTGCTCTCTAGGGAAAACTAGAAAGTCTGTTTTGCCAGCCTCGCCTGGGTTTGTTTCCTTCAGTTACAGCCACATGCTCCCATACCCCGGAGCAATGAAAGTTTCCCAAATTCCATTCTCCTGCCCAGAACCATCAGTGCTGAAAGCTGGCCCAGGAGCTCAGGCGAATTCCCTTAGCTCATTACCCAAGTGTCTCTCAAAGGGAAAGTTAACAGGCACATAAAATTGTCACCAACATTCCTTCAAACCACTGTGTCACGAAGCCAGAAGGTCCCTGCCCCTCATTTCTGGAGCTACTGCTGCTCATAGTCTGAGTGGACCACACAGATGATGTCCATGGCAGAGCTTGGCCGAGTCATGCTTTTCTTTTTTTTCCAGCTAGCTCCTTAGGAGGTTTTTGTGGGACAGCCAGTGCCTGAGGGTCTCTTGTAGCCATTCAGGCATGTACACAAGACCTTCCTTACTAATACTTGTCAAGTTGTTATTTGGGGTGCAAGTCTGGCAGTTGAGAGATGTAATGGGTAAAGGGAACCATGACAGGAAGATTTAGGACCAGACCCTGACTCCAGACTGTCTAGCTGATGTTTGGGCCCCATTTTCCATGTGAATTGGATTTAAGGATGCCTGCTTTCCAAGGTCACTGTGAAGACTGCAATTGTAAACCCTGAAGGAGATCTTAGAGAAGTTAATCCATTCACTGAAACCTTTGAGATTCCTTGTTCTAATAGCAAGAAGGCTTCTAGCTATAGCCACAGAATGCCAAGGAACAGGAAGCATCCTTGGGCTATACTGCTCAGGTACCCTAAGGATGCTGGGTCTACATTGAACCTAACTATGGAGCATGCTCTCCTGTCCCTGATCTGTAGACGAAATTCTAAACGGTCTTATTAAATAAGAAACACAGAGCCAAATACAGAGTTAAAGCCTAAGAGATCAGAGCAAGAGCCCCGACTCCCTTTAGCTTACCACTCGATGTCATCCTTGCCCTGAGAGAGAGAGACCTTCTTTCTGTGTGTCTTGCATTTTGTTGCTTTCCTGTTCTGCCTTCTCATTGGCTCTAAGCCCAGCCACATGACTTCCTTGTCACTGCCTGTCTACACAGACCTCTTAGTCTCTATGGTTGATACTGAGATGAAAGACTCAAGGGTCACCACGCTTGGCTGTGTCCTTGACCACACAGAGACTCTTCCTGCCATGTGATCGGATTAAGGGTGTGGACTAACACCACCTGACTTCTATGACCTCTGATCTCCAGGCAAACTTTATTTATTAACATACAAATAAAATCACATTTCAGCACAATTAAAATATCACCACACTGATCCATAGTGGGGGACAGGAGGTGAAGTAGGAAGAGGTGTTATGGGTACAAGAGAGAGAGTGTGTGTTTGTGTGAAAGTGTGTGTGTCTTTATCTGTACATACAGATATGTGGAATCGAGATGACAACCTTGGGAATCATTCCTCAGGCACCATCCACCTGTCTTTTAGAGACCGAGCCTCTCACTGGCTTAGAACTGGTTGGGTAGACTAGATTAGCTGGCTAAGGAGCCTCAAAGATCCTGCCTTCCCACCACTGGGACTACAAGCACGTCTCACAATGCTTAGTTTTATAGAAATAGTGGGGGTTTGGGGGATTGAATTCATGTTCTCATCCTTACAAGACCAGCACTTTATCCACTGATTCGGCTTCTTGGCCTGCCACAGCCTTTTAACGTGACTCTGGTCACTTGTAATCACAGCCATCTTGTGTTTGCTTTATTAGTTTAGCCATTTGGAAAAACTCATATGAAGTGCCTGTTCACATCTCCTGTGTATTTTTCCTGACTGGATCGTTTGCATTTTCCTTGTTTTATGGGATTTTTTTTTCTATATGCTAAGAGTTCCTTGTTGATTCCAGATCAATTTAGGGAGTAAAAGTGGAAAGATAAATAAATAAACTGGGCCAAGTGTTATGAAGCAGGATCTGGGTAAAGGTGACAACCAACATCGGCAGCCTAGGGATAGGGTGTCCCCATGTCACAGAGGTCTGTGCTGCCGCTGATGTGAAATGACCTCCATAGGTCCCCAGATGGTGGCCCTGCTTGGGAAGGATGTGAATGTTTAGGAGGCAGAGAATTTTTAGAGGAAGTGGGTCCCTGGGAGTGGCCTTTGGAGCCCAGCCCCACTTCCTGTTTACTTTAAATCTCTGTTTTCTGGTTGTTTATACAATGTGACCCACCAGTCTCTTGTTCCTGTTGTCATGCCTTCCTCGCCACATCTTCCTCACCAAGATGGATGGTATCCCCTCATCTGTTAGGCAGAACGAATCCCTCCCCCTTCCTTAAATTGCTTCTTGCTGAGGGTTTTGTCACAGCAATGAGAGAAGTAACTAATATAATTTCGGAAGGCAAGTTCCATGGTACCAAGTACTTCTAGAAGGATGAAGGTGGAGATGGATGCTGTGGGATGTTCTGTGTGTCAAATGTGTTGTTCTGACTGGTTAATAAATAAAACACTGATTGGTCAGTAGCCAGGCAGGAAGTGTAGGCAGGACTAACAGAGAGGAGAATTGAGAGAACAGGAAGGCAGAAAGAGACACTGCCAGCCGTCACCCTGACAAGCAGCATGTGAAGATGCCAGTAAGCCACAAGCCACATGGCAAGGTATAGATTTATAGAAATGGATTAATTTAAGATGTAAGAACAGTTAACAAGAAGCCTGAGTCATTAGGCCAAACAGTTTAAATAATATAAGCTTCTGTGTGTTTATTTTATAAGTGGGCTTCGGGACTGGCGGGGATTGATGGGAGCTGGAGAGAAACTCTCCAGCTACAGATGGAGGCTTATCTTCAATGTACAGCTTGGCCACACCCTCAGCGCCTTCTCGGCCTGCACGTCTGAAGGTATTCACCTTTAGAGCCCAACAGTGAGTAGATTCCTTCTTCCTCGTGGTGCTGACTCAGCTTTCTGTCTGCCTGTGCTCTCTGAGGTTCATTAAACTTCTGACATTTTATGGGCCTCTTAGTTCAGCCCCCTAATTTTAATAATGAACAAGCAAGTCCGGAATGGTTAAATGGCATCCCCAAGGTCATAGGGCCGATTAGGACACAGCTCAATAGGATGCAAAGCCTCCAATCTCTAAAGGCATCTGCCTAAGTGCTCGCTAGTAAATCAAGCCATAGCTTCCTTTGGCCATGCGTAAAGTCACTGAAGAGGCACTGGTGTCTTCTACAGCTTTAGGGGTTGAGAGACCTGGCCTCAACCCAGAGGACCCAGCCTCTCAGGCTAGCCACCTGTCTCCAGCTTTCTCCTTGGTCAAATATCAAAGGCTCCACTGCTGTGTTTTCTGTGCCCCTGTTTCCAACACGATGCTCTATACTCAACGATACCGCGAAGGAGCTAGGAGAAGGGGCGGCTGGGTTTTGTAACAAGAAACAAGTAAGTAAGCATAGATTTCCTATGGAAGGGAAGGATCGAGTTTCTTTTTTATCAATAAAGAGAAAGGGGAGAAATTGCACTTTGAATAGATACAACCTCTATGGTTTGCGTGATGAAGAGCAGGCATCCCTGTCTGCTTCTCTCTCACTTCCAATGGGCAAAAATATGTCTTGTTACAGCTGGAGGGGGTTCCCGGTATGCCTGAATGGTTGAGTGGTATTCACTTTGCCAACTGATGAGTCTCCTCTGTGTGTGACTAAACTAAAATCTCTGTAGTGGGAACTCGGGGTTAGACGGAAAAAAGAAAAAAAAAATTTGAAGTTGTGGCTGGGAAGATGGCTTAGTGATTACAGTGTTTGTTGTGCAAGCATGAAGACCTGAGTTTGGGTACCTGGGAAAAAGCCAGGTGTGGCTATGTGGGACTCTGACCCAAGTGTGGTGGTGTGGACACAGGAGGATCCCTGGAACCTGCTGGCCAGACACTATAGTCCAAAAGAGATTCCAGATTTAGTGAAAAGACCCTGTCTCAAAAATAGTGTGGAGGGCAGTTGGGGAAGACATCCAGTGTCACTCTTTGGTCTCAACAGGTAAACATATGGCCACATATACCTACACACAAGTACATACTTGTAAACATGTGCACAGACACACACAAGATAACTGTATTCGGTTTGGCTTCAGTAAAAGTACAACCACAACCACCACCATCACCACTATGATGACCACAACCATCACCACCAATGCAACCACCACCACCACCACCACCACCATTACCACCATCACCACTATGATGATTACAACCATCACCACCAATACAATCACCACAACCTCCACCACCACCACCATCACCACTATGATGATCACAACCATCACCACCAATACAATCACCACAACCACCACCACCACCACCACCACCACCACAACCACCACCACCACTATCACTACCATTACCACCACCACCACCACTACCACCACCAGCACCACCATCACCCACCACCACCACCATCACCCACCACCACCACCATCACCCACCACCACCACCATCACCACCACCACTAACACCACTGAAGCCAAGAGAAAGCCAACTGTGGTGACTTGTACCTGTAGTTTCAGCACTGAGGAGGTGGAGGCAAGAGGACCAGGAGTTCAAGGTCATCTTCATCCTTGGATACACATACAGTTTGAGGTTCTGATGGACCACGTGCAATCCTAGCTAAAAAAAATCAGAAGGTGAGAAATGTGCTAGCTCTTGTGATTGAAGTCTATAAGTAGACCTTACCACAATTGACCCGTTCATGATACCCGTGCTTTAGCCTTCTGAGTGCTGGGATTACAAGTGTGCACCCTGCTCCCCACGACTTGTTCCTTTGATTTCTTTGCCTGTTTGTCTTGGCTAAGGGGAACCTCCGGAGCAGTCCTCCTATGTTGGAGAAATCGTGAACTACAGCTTACAGACTTGCATTTTTCCAAGTGAACTATCTTGGCTGAGAACTGCACTTGGGGACTTCCAGCACATGTCCCAGGTTTCCTCTGCATCGTCTGGTTTGAGTCCCATGTTCATTAGGGATGAATCCAGCCCCTAGGACCCTGGTTATCCACTGCTTCACTAGACATCTGTCTTTGGAGGGGAGGATGGGTCAAAGGTAAAGATCCCCAAAGGAACAGGAAATGCTCTTAGCAGAGGATTGGGAAATGGCTCAGTGGGCAAAGAGTGCTTACCATGAAAGCATGAGACCTAAGATCAAATCCCCCAAACCCATGTAAAATCCAGGTATAGCAGCATGGGCCTATGCTACTACATAGCATAGACAGTGACCCTATGGGACGATGTGAGGCTGAGACAGAAACATCTCTGCAAGTTCTTGGGCCAGCTGGCCTAGTACAAACAGTGGTTAAAAACCTAAAGAAACAAGGTGGGAAGGTCAGGACCAATACTCAGGGTTGCCTTCTGGCCTTGACACACATGCTACAGCATGCATACACCTACATGCACACACCCAAATCCATGTAATGCACACTTACACATAGACAGATGCTTTTAGCAGAAAAGGATGAGTTAATTCTAGGCAGGTAGAAAATTAGTGCCTTCCTTACCACCCAGATGCCACAATGGGCAGAAACCCATAGATGAGCCATCAGAGCAGCCAGGACTCTCTTTTGTCTTGCCTCAAACCCGGAGTTTAGGTAAAGAGGGGAAATAACGTTGATTGATTATCAATATACCGTCTATTGACATGAATCTCATTTCATATTCCTTCCACTTATCCAGCAAGGAAGACATTCATCTCTCAATTTCAAAATCAATGAAAACAAGGACAGGAGGGTCAATAACTTTCTCCTCAGGGTCACATGCTGGTCACTGAAGAGGGCCATTTGATCCTAAAGGACCTCCTACCCTCCCACCCCATCAAAACTGGAGTTTCAGCGTCTGGGGCAGTCAGAGCTGAAAGAACCATCTGGAGCTGAGGGGAATGGTCCAAGCTAGGCCCCACTCTGTCCCTCTCCTCTGTCCATCCAGATGGCCTTGGGGAAGCCTCTGTCACTGGCACGTGGCCTCCCTTAACTGTGGTTGAAGCACTGTGGGGTTGGACCAGTCTGGACCCAGCCAAGGCAAAATTAGTGACGAGGAGGGTGCCTGACTGTGCAGACACACACTTATGCCAAGGCTGCTCTGGAGTTATGCACGTGTGTGTGTGTGTGTGTGTGTGTGTGTGTGTGTGTGTGTGTGTATACTGTAACTCACACATGGGTGTGAGTACAGGCACATACATGTGTAGCACATATGCAGAAGTCAGAGGACAACCTCGGGCGTTAGTCCTCACATTGCTTGTGACAGGATTTCTGGGTTTGCTACTGAGGACCCTGGTCTAGCTGCCTCCCATCTGCCCTCAGGAGCACTGGGATTACAGGTGAATGCTACCACTCCCAAGCCCGGCTTTATGTGCTTTCCGGGGATCAAATCTCAGGTCCGTACACTTACATGACAAGCAGTTTTTCCGCCAAGCCATCTTGCCAGCCTTACGTTCTGGCTTGCTGATGGTGCTCAGTCCTAACGTGCACCAGGTCACGCCTACCATTCTTCTCTTTGTGGTTTGTGACTTACTCACCTCCCCGTCTCAGTGACATCTCAGGACAGAGACTCGACTCCTCCACCTTGGTTCTGTTCTTGCTGGTGGCCTCCCTCAAGTATTGCCTTGCCCTTGGGAACACTTATTTCTGGTGGAGTTCAGAGTTCCTCACACACAAGACGTTCAGCTGTCTCGATATCTCAGTCTCTCTTTGGGTATCTCTGGGCTGGGTTCATTTTCCTGGAGGAAATATTTAGTCTTCTTTGTCTTTCTTCTAAAAGGTTTTTGGTTTTGTTTTAAAGTGTGTGTTCGTGTGTATGCATGTGACTGTAGTTGCTCACAGAGGACAGGAGAGGGCAGTGGATCCCCTGTAGATGGAGATAGAGGTGGTTGTGAGCTGCCAGGTGTGCATGCTGGGAACCCAGCTCTGGTCCTCTTCAAGAACAGTGTACATCTTAACCCCGAGCCACCTCTCCAGCCCTACTGTCCCCTATCTGTCTCCAGTGTTTCCCAGATTTGGTGAAAAATGCTGTATGTTTGTTATCATGTCAAACCCGAGGGACCTGCAGATTTTTATATGGTACTAGGCAGGGTCTCTGACAGGGATTGGGGAGAATTCTGCTCTTCACCAGTCACAGGCCTTCCAAGGGAACCACAGATCTTCCCTCTAGAGCAGAGGTTCTCAGCCTGTGGGTCATGACCCCTTTGGGGAGTTGAATGACCCTTTCACGTGGGTCACCTAAGACCATCAGAAAACACGGATTTTTACATTACGATTCATAACAGTAGCAAAATTACAATTATAAAGTAGCAATGAAAATAATTTTATGGTTGGGGAGGGGTCACCACAGCCTGAGGAACTGTATTAAAGGGTCTCAGCATTAGGAAAGTTAAGAACCACTTTGCTAGAAGCAGCTAGCTGTGGGTATTTCTTGAGACTGGAGCTCATACTTGGAAATTACATGTCCCTAGAGAGATGGCGGATCAAACAAGTGATGAGTATGCCCTTCAGAAGGGAAAGAGATGATGAACAGGAGGGAGCTGAGGAAAGCATGCAGACAGTCTGACACTCAGTGATGAGAAAACAGAAGAGGGATAAGTTTAAAAGCAAGAACAGGATCGCACGTTTCACTGCCACAAGGTACTTACCGTGTGTGATAATGTAGACTTCCGTCACTGCCTAGTGCCTTTGGTTGGGAGAAATTGCACTTAATGCTCTCAATTATTTGAGGCTATTTCATTAAAGATTTTTTTTCTGCCCTTATTGATAGAAGAATCCACCAATAGGGATTTATTCTTAGTCTACCACACAGCTATCATCTTGTTTTCAAGCCATTAACAGGAATGCATCCTCATCTGATTGTTCTGAAACAAAAGTGTACCTCAGAAGCTGATACCATCTCCTCCACCTTCTCAGGAGCCCTACAGATTCCAGTGGGGACCTTTGGTTGTGAATCATGCACAGTAGGAGTCCCGCTGTTGTGTGTGCCCCTTCCGGCATCTTTCCCATCATCTGATTAAAGTTTTTGCAGGAATTTCACTGCTCACTTACATGAGATGGACAGATAACGGGGAGCGGAACTCACTTTCTAATGTTCTTTCAGACTGAAATTTAGATTCCATTCATAAGGAGGGGCCCAGGCAGCCCAGATTGGATGAGAATGGACCTTCCACACAGAATTTAAAAAGAATTTCATAGGAAAGTCCCTTTCTCAGGAACTACTTCATGAATGGCAGTGAGGTCAGGGCATGGGATAAGGGTTCTTCTTTGTCATAAAGTAAATGCCCTCAAAGGTAAACACTACAAGCTCTCACCTGCAGCCTGCTGGGCCATTAGTCAAAGCTGGTTGTATTCTTTGAATTCCATCGAGCTTTTCTAGAAAAAGGAAGTTTGCTGTGTTGGCTGTGGCCACTTCATGACAATGCCCTGTCACACGAGAGCTTTGGTTTCTTCACAGCTGAGTTTGTTCTCTATTGTGACATCCACAAGAAGAGATCCCTTTCTGAACTGGTGGCCATTTGGTGATTGGATTCTCTTAATGTGAAACAGAGACTCAGGGAACATCTCATCTTCGGTCCCCTGGCATGCTTCTAGGATGAAGGGGGTGGACGGGGGGCAGCGGGCTTAAGTGCAAGGATTTTGGATGGGGTGGTAGGGGTCAAGCCTTTGGCATTGCTGTTTAGTCCGCTGTATGGACTTGGTAGGTCATTTAACTCACTTAGACCTCAACTTTCTTAATGGTGTATTGACCATGAGAGCAAATAGTGAGGGAATCTTGTGGGGACTTTGGGTAAGGTTTGAGGGAATG